AATTTAGGTTTAAATCAGGAGGCTGATTTCAGACACTTTAGGGCCTGTGTATTTTTTCTTAGCAGTCACTTTTCATTTAAAAAATGAGATTGGCTGATTTCTTAGTTTCATTTCTTTCATGAAGATTTAGGACTTCCTTGTTGGTTCAGATGGTAAAGCGTCTGCCTACAATGTGGGAGGCCCGGGTTCAATCCCTGGGTTGGGAAGATCTCCTGGAGAAGGAAATGGCAACCCACTCCAGTATTCTTGCCTGGAAAATCCCATGGACAGAGGAGCTTGGTAGACTACAGTCCATGGGATCACAAAGAGTCAGACACAACTGAGCAATTTCAGTTCACTTCACTTAAGCTGGTTGCTCAAAGAGAAGGAGCCAGAGCCTTTTCCAGTAGAGACCTAGGCCTGCTGACTGCCGGCTAATGCCAGCTCAGTGTTTGACTGTTGTGTGACCCCGAGAGCTGGTCTTGTCACTCCCAGAGTCTTCCTTTCTCCTTCCACCTAGGGGAGCATAATTCCTGCCCTTCTCCCTTCTCCCTTCTAGTAAGGACAAAGATGTCCATACTAGACATTTTTGTCTAGTAGAAATGAAATAGAAATGAAAAGTACCAAGGAAAGGTAAATGTACTATACAAACATCAAAGGCTGGAGCAAAGAATAACATGGTGTTTTTCACCAGCAGAATGTAGATTCCTAGAATCAGCGTTACAGTTAGGAAAGAACCTGGAGGTCAAGGAGCCCACCCCTTCCTCATTTTATAGATGGGATCCATTCTGAGTTGGAACAGAGGAGGATTCCAGGGGAAGACTATAGTTAGAATCTAGATCCCTTTACAAACCCCTTCTTTCTTTCTCTACTTATTTTGGAGACCAAAGAAGATCAGACCAAGAGAGGCTGTATTTGTATGTACACATACACACCCTGGCGGTGCTCCAGAATATGGGGGAAACCCAAGTCCCCGGAGGCAGCCAGACCTGCTCTTTGATCCAAGCCCAGCCTGCCTTTTACCATCTATGTGACCTTGAACAAAGTTCTTCACTTCTCTGAGCCTCACCTGCCTGAATATTAACCTCTTAAGGCTTGAATGAAATAATACATGCTAAGGGCTTAAATAATGTCCTTAATAAAATTTAACTTTTTTTTTTTCAATAAAAAGACTACATTTACTGTGTGGAAGGAATAATAAGCCCTTCAAGACAGATATTTACTATTGTATGTTAACTGGTGATGATTATTAGGAATCTCATTCATTATTTATACCCACAGTGCCAAGCACAAGGTGGATGCTCAATTAATGCACGTTGAATAAACAGTGTACTGAGAATACCCTGGCCACAGGAGAAATTAGAAGGAAGTTTCAGCTTAATTTTTATTGCAAAAATAATACTTATTCATTGTATAAAAATACATATATACATATATGGCTAAGCAGGAGGAAAAGTCAAAATTATCCTTATTCCTACAATTCAGAGGTAGAAGTGTAAATGTTTTGGTGTACAGCTATCCACGTTTTCTCCATGAATGATATTTATGTATTTATTTTTATGTAAAGCAGGTTACTAACAGTCTTCAGTAAACTAAGAATGTTTTATTTTCCCTCAGTTATATCAAGAACAATCTCTGTATCAATTATATTTTTTCTTAGGGGCTGAGTAGTAACCCACTGATGGATTTATTTAACCAGTTGTGTAATTATAACACTTTGGAGATCCCTCTATCCATTTCACTCTTTAGTAGACTAGTTCTGTGCTTAAAGCTTTATAACATCAGTATTTTCTTACAGCAAACTCCTGGAATTTACTTTGAAGTTAGTGATCATACTCCACTCCCCGTTTAAAAAAAAAAAACAAACGATGTCCTTAATTCAAATTAATAATGATACCATCTGTCACAGCCAGGTGGAGGTAGGTTTCCCAGAAAAGGCGCTGAACCCTGGGAGAGAATGAGAAAGTAAAAGGCAGGCTCCAAAGCTACTCCATGGAAATGGAGCTAATGACGGAGGAGAGGGTTGAGAGCCCGGTGTAGGAAGGTCTGGACCCCTGGTGAAGAAGGTCTAGAGCCTTCAGCGAAACTGGTTCGTGAAACCCGGAGCAACTCAGCTCTGCCCAGGGGGCTCTGCTTTTGCAGCTGGGAGTGAAGGCTGGAAATATGGCCCGAGGGTTCCAGGCGATGGAGTTAAGTCCTGGGGAAACTGAGAGGACATCCCAGCGACCCCCTCAGTGGGCACTGGCTGGCCCTGTGTCTCCCGGGTGCCAGGTCTGAGATCAGGACCAGACGTGACTGGGACCGATGTGAGGTACTCAGCTGTCTTCTCCAAGAGGGTTTGCGCCCAGCGGGATGGGGTTTTCGGAGCCGGCTGCCGCGGTCGGTACCCCTCGGTACCCCGCTCTCCTTTCACTGGACGGGGCTTCGAGAAAGCAGGACCGGGTGCGCATTCTTCCCGTGCCTTGGATACTTCATGGTGCTAAAAATAGTCGCGGGCGGGGTACTCCGTGTATAGCGAGCTGATGGTCTGTAAACTCAACTGGAGTCCTGGGTTCAAATCCAGAAAAGGTCCCCTCCGTGCCGGGGCACCTCCGTCGGCTTGCTCCCCGAGTCCCAGTTTCCCTGTGCGTGCCTGGATTTCTAAGGCGCTTCCCAGCCCTCGGAAAGAAAATTTAAAAAAAGAAAGCTCGATTTTTCTTTCCTGCTCCTCCCTGAGGGGTTTGGGGCCTCAGGCCGTGTATCAGGGCCGCGCAGCTCATTACCGCGAGGTGTTGCCCTCGTTAAATCGCGGGCCTGTTTGATCTGGCGGCGGGTGGCGAGAGGGAATAAAGAAAAAAGTAGGGGACTCAGAGTAAAGAGAAGCTCACACCTCCGCCGCCGTTTCCTCGCGCCCATAAAACACCTTTTATTAACTCCTTCGCGTCCGGAAAGGCCCCCGTGGCCGCTCAGCCCCGCCACGGGTGTTTACAGCTCAAACTAATGGGGCCCCATATTCACCCCGATGCGGGTACGAGGGGCCTGGAACACGCCTGGCCCCGGCGCTGCCCGAGTCTGCTTTCTAGGCCCCAAGCTCCGGCCTCCAGCTCCGGATGTGGAGCGGGAAAGCGCCGAGAGACCCGCGCACGGGCGTCCTGGCGCTTGGCTCGCAGAGCGCGTCGGAGACCTGCCCGCACTGCAGAGTATGCGTTCGCTCCCGCAATCGTGAGATAACAAAAGCGCTGAGTACAGAGCCTCGCACACAGTTGGCACAAACCAAACTGGTTGTCTGTACACTAATATTCAGGGACAGAGACGCCAGCATTAGCCCGCCCAGTTCAGCCCGGCACGCATCCGAGCCTTAACAAATGCAGCCAGTTTTATTTTCACCCTCACACCTAGCCGTGGAGGCCCACGTGGAGGCTCAGAAACCGCCGCTCTCCTCCAAGGACCCGAAGTGTGCGAGTTAGCCACCACGCCCCTCACCCCGTCCTTTCGCACGAATCCGTACTCGCAGGAATACTTGTTGAGTGCTTTGCTGCTAGGGGGAAATGCCTCACAGCGACCATGAGCACTCACAAACTCCCCTTCCTCACGTCTCAGATCAGAGCTGCTCCGTCTTGTCGAGGCCTTACAGGGCGCTGGGTCTGTGCCCCGCAGCCGTTTGTCGGCCCCACCTCAGCCACGGGGCTCCGTGTGAGTTCTTGCACCAAGGCACAAATTATTATTGTTAAGTTCATAATTTCACAGAAGTGAACGTATTCCGGAGGGCATTCCCCTCTTCCGAGCCACCCTGCCCTTGTGTAGCCTCTCGTTTGTGAGACAGGCCCCCTTCCCAATCGCCCCAGGCCGCCGATGGCAGACACCGATGTGCAGCACCCATCCACAGACAGGCCCAAATGCTGGCCCACAGAAATCCTAGGCTGTCATATCTAGGTCTAATGCATTTCCAAGTTTCCCTTCTTTAGGTTCACTATAGCTATCATGTCTCCCCATCATCTTCTAAGGAGAACTTTGCTTTTTATACCAGGAGTAAATTCTTTATCTGCCCCCTTCCCTTGATTTAATTTGCAGTTTGGTTCGACATTTTATCACAGGAAAAAAAAAAAAGAAGTAGGAACAGGAGGTTCTCCAACTAGCAGAAACGATGGAGAAGACCGGGGATAGCCGCCAATATATCACACAGGCTTCTGCTGATTTCAAAAAATGTTTTATTAGTCAAGAGCATAGATACTGCTTTGGCAAAAGGAGGGGATGGTGAGTGGTCATATAGATTTGAGGTAGAAAAAGGGTGGGGATGAGGGAATTAAACACCTGAGCAAAGCAGGCATGGTAGGTAGTTTAAATACATAAAAACTTTTCAACATAGGGAAAAGTTTTTATTTACAAAGGAAGGAAGGAGGGGAAAGGAAGAAAAGAGCCGTTTTCCTTGGAACTAAGTAGGAAGTGCAGTGACAAAAAATAAAATACAATAAAAACATCACTGTTTGAGGAAAAACAAAGGCAGCCCTTTCATCTTCCTGGTTTGGTTCTCTTTCCCTGGCAGAAAACTATTGATTCCTCTTATTGCATTTTAATTAGGGAGGAGAACGCGTGCGCGGACGCGCGGAGGGTTTTGACGCGAAGCCGAGAGGGGCGCGAGAAAGAAAGGCAGATAGTGGGATGGGGAAGGCGTTAGGGGTCCTGATTTCGCCCCAGAAGGGTTGGAAGGTTACGTCCTAGCGTGCTTGGGTCTCGCAGTCCTTCCTTCTCGAATCGTGCAGCCAAGAGCCGCCCTCTCGGTTGCCGTGGGGGTGGGGATGGTTTTATATATATATATATATATATTTCTCTTTCTCTTCATGTATTAAAAACAATTTCAAATGACATTGCACGTGCGATTGAAGTGTGTAGTTGCAGCCGGCGACCTGCCAGCACGCAGCGGAGGCTAGGCGGGATGCTCCCGTAAGACCCTGGCATCCGGAGCCGGGCACTGGCCTCCGCCTTCTCTCCTCCCGGGCTCTGGGTCGGGCAGCTGTGGCGGGATCCTCGGCGCAGGCCTCGGCTCACTGGTTTAACTCCAGCGCCCAGACTTGCTGCGGCCAGCCTGTGCGCCCTTTAATCCTCTTCTCGCCTGGGCCCAGGGCAGGAGGAAAGCCTTCGTGCTGCTGCTGCCAGAGGACACACACAGAGAAGGGGCGAGAGAGACAGGTTTAAATGTTTCTGCTCCGCTCGCCCAGGCGTAGAATAAAAGTAGGGGTGGGGTGAAAGGTGTTGGGAGCAGTAACTGGGAGCCTTTAAATAAGTGACGAATTTTTGTTTGCAAAATAGGCAAACAGGCTCATAAATTTGCCTTTATGCGCCGAGTTCCCAGGGGACCCGGATGGGCTGGGCAGCTTCTGGGGGGTTGGTAATGAGAATTTTCTGCGGCTGGTAAAACTGTTGCTCGTAGGTTTGGCTTTATGGCGCCGAAGGGGGACTGCAGGGTTTGGGATGGGAGGAGTGGCAATCAACACTTTCCTCGCTCGCGGACCTGCACCGGCGACACATAGCGCCTGAGTATGGATACCGGGCTGGGTTCCTCCAACCGGCTCTGGGCGCTCAGAAGTCTCCTCGAATGAGGGAGGAAGTCGGTCTGGCCTAGCATCCCTTTTCCCGGCTACTTGAAGAAGGCAGCGATGTGCAGGGGGTGGGGATACGCCCAATAACTGCTTCCACCCAGGCATCCGGATCCCCGGGCCTGCACCTCTTCCAGCCCAAGGCAGTGGTTTAGGGATTCGCTGACCACGGTTTTTCCCAGTCTCCCAAAGTGACTTCCCTAGATTAGCACAGCTCTTGCAGGTCAGAGAAAACCCAGGGGGCTCTCTAGTCAACTCCAACGAACGGTGGTCCCCAGGGCACCAATCTAGAGAAACTAGGTGGGTTCCCCAGGCTGGGAATCACTGTCTTCAGAGGCCCCAGAGCCCTGGGCCAGGGAAACCGACCTCCAGAAATTGTCACTGGAGAGAATCCAGAAAGGCCTAGTAGGGACTGGGATCTCCAAAGCCAAAAGAAGTCTTCAAGGTGACTGAGGAACCAGTGGTGGGGAGTGGGGAGCAGGGAAACGTCCTCTGGGCAGAGAATAAACTGACTTATTCTACCGAAGTAAACAACTCCTTGGGTAGGTGGCCTCCACATCCTGTCCAGCTCTGGGCCTCAGTTTCCCTATGTACAATGATGAAAATAGACCAGCCTCTTCAGCAAAGATCTTTTGAAAACAGCAGCTGAGCGCATATGCATAAATTCACATTCCGGCAAATGTAAGTAACAAACTCCTACAGCATTCTTAACCTGGCTTCCAGGAGAACCCAGGGACGAATAAGGACCCCTCGAAAATGTAAGTGAAATATATGGTTTGTGCATTTTCTCGGGGTCTGAAGCTTCCAATGGACTCTTAAAAGGGACCCTATGATCATGTCCGAAAAGGACGAGGTTCCGTCTAAATTCACAGTCTTACAAACACTACCGCATTACATATGAATTCAAACATGAATCTACCTCCCTTCACGCAAATAATCCCACAGTTCGACCGGCTCAGAACTCCCCGCAGCCTCTCAAAACCTTACGCGGGGCGAGGCAGACTCCTTCCACTGCGTATTCGGCCTGCGGGTGCTCATTGCGCCCGCGCCCTTGGCTAGAGCACGCAGGCCCCCCGGACTTACCAGCTCTCTTTTCCGCTTGCTCTCGCGGCCGCCATCCGCCTTCTTCAGTTCGGCCTTGAAGGCCTCGGGGTCGCCGGCCTGTGCGTCCTTGGCCAACACGTCCATCAGGTAGGCGATGTAGCTGGTGGCCAGGCGCAGAGTTTTGATCTTGGAGAGCTTGGTGTCCGCCGGCACGTTGGGGATACACTCGCGCAGCTCCGCGAACGCGCTGTTAATGCTCTCTGTGCGTCTCCGCTCCTTCTTGGGTCCTGAGCCTTTCCGCCGGCCCAGGCGGCCGCCGAGCGCCTCTAGCCGCCCGGGGCTCTGGCCGGGCCTGGCGTCTGGACCGTAGGAGGCGGCGGCTGCCGCGGCTGCGGGCGGTGGCCCGCCGGCGGGGAAGTCCGGGGCGGCGTCAGCGGGGCTCAGCAGCCAGCTCTGGAAGTAGGGCCGCTCCTGGTGACAGCGCGAGGCAGGGCCGAAGAGGAAGGGCTCGTGGAGCATGGGGTGCGCGGGGTGCGGATGGTGATGGTGGTGATGGTGGTGATGATGTGCGTAGCTGCCCACGAGGTTCATGTTGGAGCGGCCCCTGGCCTGCGCCGCCAGCCCGATTAGCGCCGCCCCATGCGCCCCAGAGACTGCCGGGGCCACCCGTGGGCTCTGGGGCGGCGCTCTGGTAGGCACCGGCTTTGAGAGATTCTGGGGCAAGGTTGAGGATAACACTCGCAGCCCGCCGTCCTCTTGTCTGCTTCGGTCGCAGGCCAGGACGAGGATGCAGAGAGACCAGTTTAACCCTTCTGCGGCCTCCACTTCAGGGTCTGGCTTATATAAGGCCGGGGCTTTGATGTCAACCTCTCCCTGGAGCCAATGGCAGGGGGGCTGGGAGGAGGAAAGGGGGATGGCCGTCCCTGGTTTTAAGCTCTGCCACTCGACTCTAGCCGCCTGCGGGGACAGGGAGGCGCCCAGTCTCCGCCCCTCCCCCTTTCTCCCCACCCACCCTCGTCCCCAGTTCCCGAGTTGGGGCTTCGTAATTGAGGCACAGGCCTGTCAACGCCCAGGTCGCCGTCTGCCACCTCCTCCCCATGTGCCCAAGGAAAGGAATCATGGAGTAAAAAGGCCTTTACCTAGATTTTACAGATAGGGAAACTGAGGCGCCGAAAAAAATAAAGATTCTCATTTCTAGACCTTCCAGAATCCAAGATAAGAATTCCAGAGGTTACCAATCCTGAGCTCCATCTGCTCTACTTGGCCTCAGAGCCAGAATATGAGAGCGGGATGCTGGTGCAGGACAGGCCCCTAACGTTCTCCCCTAAGCCTCCCCAGTCCTTAGGCGCCGGCCCATCCGGCCGCACCGCAGCAGGCCCCGCAGCTGGCAGAGCATCCGCCAACTTTGGTCAAGTCTTGTATCTGCAGCGCAGGCGGCCATTCACCGGAGTAGAGGTCGGGGACAGGAGGTGGGAGGAGATGGGTGGCGAGTAGGGAGAGGAGGGCTCTGGGCCCACAGGCATTTACTAGTTTGTTCCGGGCTCCAGAGCTTGAGATCACTCTTCTGGCCTCGGGGCGCCTGATCTTGTCCAAAGACCGGCCGGCTGACGAAGGGGCAGCCTCCTCTCCGCCGAATTCGAACGGAGGGCCCAGAACTCAGCTACGTTGGGCCGCTGCATGCAGGCCACCGCAGCTTAGGCGTTCGATTCTCGGCGCCAAAGCTCACACTGCGAGAAATCAGCGTTTGGCGGTGAACTTACACCGAGGAGACCACCACCTCAACACTCTGCAGGGCTCACGCCGTGGGAGAAACTTACTACCCACTGGCGTAGACACCGTCCTGGCCGCGCAGACCTTCGCGATTTTCCTCCCGATAGGGCCCTTCCACTCGTCGGATTCTGTCCCCAAGGGCCTTTATCTGGGCTGCCACTGGGGCTTGGGAATTTCAGGGTGGCCGCGCTTGCGGCTGAAGTTCTCAGTCTTACCTCCCTGATGGGGAGCTTCTCAGCTGATGTCCTCATACCTGGGCGCCTCCAGCCTCACCCGCCTTTCCCAGCCAAGCCCCTTCCCTAGGTTGGGTAGAGGGAGTGTACCCCTTCTCTCAAAAACAATCTGGAGGGGAGGGCGAAAGGAGAAGAGAAATACATGTCTGCTCTTTTTAGACGTCAAATTTACTTCTTCACCCATTTTTTCAACAAGTATTTGCGTGTACAGTAAATATTTGTGTTGACCACTGCTATCTGCCTTGCACAGTTAGCAACCCAAAGGTAGAGGGAGAAAGGTCAACTAGCTCATTGCACAGATGGGAAAAGTGAGGCCCGGAGATGAACGATTTTCCTTGGGCTCGGGTAGCCAGTGGATACACAGTATTCTTCTGTACAGAAGGAATGGGGACAGTGCAGGGGGGGAAACGGACAAATACTTTGTCCAGAGCCGGTTCCACTTGTGGGAGCTCGGCAGGGCTGTGGGCCCTGGAGGTGCGTGGGGGAGGGAGGTCCCTGTTTCCTGCCGGAGGCGGCTGGAAACCCGCCGCTCTCCTGGGCGCCTGGCGCCAGCAGCGCTGGGGTTGGGCCGAGCGCGGAGCCGGAGGCTCGCAGGGAGGGAGCACCCCCGCGCCCAGTTGAGCCGCGGCTCCGCGGAGTCCCGGGCCTCCCTGGCCTGAAGGCGCTCGGAATTGAGGGTGTGCGGGTAGAGACAATAATGACTCTGTGATGGACCTCAGTCGACACACACCCAGCCGTGGTCCTAGTCCGGCTCGATCTCTCAGGACCACCGTTACACATGTACATATAGACGCACGCAGCCTCACAAAAAATCACCAGCATACACCGAAGTCTAGGCATTCATGCAGACGCCACAAAATATGCATATTATCTCAGTAACCTATTTACACCCATGTGACATACAACAGCATTTCAATTTTCATGCATTCCTAGAATTTTACACGTTATCTCTTCGTCACCCACGGAGCGTGCATCTAGCTTCAGATGTGTGACAGCTCTGGGCCACTCCCAACCCTCCATGTAGGCACACTTACAGACACCATTACCGCAGAGACACATCAGCTCCACACAAATAGCACCGCTGAAGGGCTTGACATATACTCTTACTGTCACACTTGTGCACAAGCCCAACCAGTTTGTATCTGTTTCTTCCTGTATTTCTTACTGTATACAGTATTTATAACACAAACTTCTGAAAACCCATCCCACATTTCATGCATTCTCAGTTCTCACAAACACACATAAGTACAGTCACAATTACTACTATATATACACACATGCTCAGAAAAAGAAGTTTTCGCATGTTTGTCCATTACACACGGGCACACAAATTCCAAACACTGAGACAGATTGACATCCATTCTGTCATACCCACATAGTCACAGTCACAAGCCCTGGAGGTGAAGTTAACAACAGTATGCACATTATCACAGCCCCCCTCCCCGCCCCCCTCCCCTGCCATGATAGGTAGGTAGGTACACACAGTGACGCACACACTCCCAGCTCCAGCACCCGCCCTCATGTGTCGCGAGCATTTTCCAAGGTTACATAGGTCACTCAGGGTGATTTGAATACTCTCCAAATATCCAGCCTAGTTAGTGTGGTAGGGAATGCATTATCAGTACTGAATGATGAATCCCAGTCTCATGAGATGTCTTGAAGGGTCCCCAGATCTCCTGGCAGTCCCTTCTGGGTTGTTAAAGAGCAGGGTATGTGTAGTCACCTGGGCCCTAGAAAGCACTGCTCTCCACCCACAGTCAAGAGGTTTAAGTAGTTCTAGCAGAGCGGCTCCAGAATCTGGGACCACAGCCCTCGGGGACCACTGGGGCTCAGACTGGCAGCACCCAGGGGAATGGATGTCAGGGAGATGGCCTGAGTAGAACACAAGGCGCCTAGGCTTCAGACCCACCTTCTGGGAGACCCCAATGGGCTTTGAAGTCCAACCTGGCTTAGATGCGTGTGGATCAACAGTGGGGACCAGGTAAAGGTATTCTGTCTCCCCTTCCCAGGCTCTATGGTACGCGAGGTCTGGGACCCAGGAGTTTAGATGACATTTTTCTGAACTGAGAGGTGAGAGATGAGCATGGAGTTCTGGTTTTACCTAGCACCTCACTGTGTTCCTTTCCCTCTCTGAGCCTGTTTCCTCATTTTCAGAAAAGAGGGATAGAACTGATAGTCCGGAAATGGGAAATTCCCAGCTCTGGGCTATTTCCCGGACCCCGGCTCTAATTCCTCTCTGGGGGCTCTCGGACCTAGCTCTTGGCTTTTGGGCTCCACTAACAAAAGGACTCTATCGCACCCCCCACAACCACAGACCGAAGGAGCGGGAGTCGGGGACTCAGGAGTGGGGTGGGCCGTCCTATCCGCCAGTCTCAGATTCCCCCCACCTCACCTCCCTTCCACACCCCGCGGTGCTCGCTCCGGCAGCGTCTTCGGGAGGTCTGGCACTCCCAGCATTTTTAAACGCTCTCTTCTTTCTCCAGTTAGGCTAGTGAGGTCGTGCGAGAACCCTCATTCCATTTTACGGGATCTTAAGCACAAAGAGGTTAAAAATGTGTATTAAAGGAGCGTTTAAGCGAGTCTCGCTGGAGAATCGCGCCCGCCCACCCGGACTGAAACTCCGCATGGGCATTCATCCTGTCCCGGTGTGAAACTTCGCATCCTCTGTAAACTGGGGTGCGGTTATACCCGCCGCAGAGGGCTGGTGTAAGATTAAGGGAAATTATATAGGTGAAGCTCCTGGCACCTGATGGTAAACCTGGATAAATGGTGGCTCTGTTTTTAGGAGTACAATATTAATTCCACAGGGAAAGTAAGTTACCGCGTCACTACAGAGCCCGGGTGAGGGAGGGCATCCACCATCCCCTCGCAGGGCTCTGTTCTGAGCTGACGGCTCCCGTTTCTGACCGCATCGAGCCTCCGTCTTTCCCCACCGACCCTCCAGAACTCCACTGTCAGGAAGGAGGCTGGAGATGGGGGATACCGAACAACGACAGGTCGGGGATAATGTTGCCAGAGTCCTGAATTCCAGTTCCGGATCTCACCCACCCGCATTTCATTTGCTGAAGTGTTTGGCGGTGTAGTTACCGCCTCCTCCAGGACTCAGTTCTCTCATCCGTGCAGTGGACCGGCTGTATTCAAGCCTCAGACGCCTGGGAGTCCTTCTCCGGCCCGCCCTACTCCTCCCTTATTCCCGCCCCTGGGACTGGCAGGCCTGGAAGAGCCTGAGCCGCGGCGCCTACCGCAAAACCGTCTCCCGCTGCGTTCCGTGACCTTGACGCCACCAGCAATCCCCGCACCGGACCCCTTATCTAAATAGGGCCGTAAATCAAGGACCTGTCAGGGCCCGGGTAATTACAGGAACTCCATAAAAAGGACCCGGCCGGCCGCCTGTTTATATTAGCGCGGTGTAAAATATTCTTGCTGTCTTGAGGAATCGCGTCGCGCAGTAACGCGCCATAAATCAGCCCGCGGGCCATTTACCCCGCAGTTTGAGTGCGCAAATCCCTTAAACATTTCTCTGCCGCATCTAGAAAGTCTAGGACTTTCCACTCTGGCCCAACCTGCTCCCCAGGGTTAACCCTGGAGTGGGGTGCGTGTGGGGGGTTGGGGGAACAATCGGGGTAGGGAAGAGACAGAAAGGTGGGTCTATATCCCCGAGATGTTCCTGGGGTGAGCTTTTGCCTTCACCAGTGTGTGAGAGTAGCAAGACTACTGAGATTTCGTGTTAAAACCTGCTGAGAAACCTATCAAGAGAAGGGAAGGGTCTTCCCTAAGGACACACAGCCGAAGGGTGGCAGAAACTTGCAGCTGAAGCCTAGTCACCTAAGGGAGACCTGGATTCCACGGAAGCCTCTGTCTCCTCTTATGTCCCCCTTTCCTGGGATGAGGTGTGGACTGGCCAGAGAGGGTCCAAGCCACCAGCTGACATTCCACTGTCTATCGTTTAGCTTCGAGAACCCCCGAGCTTCCTGCAACTGTGCACAAAATTATGTGCGAATGCTATTCTCTGGCGGGGTTGGAGGGGAGCTCTAATTCCTAGTCCAGTCCCCCTTGTTTTACAGGTGGCAAAACAGACCTAGAGGATGGGGACGCACAGCTAGAAATCGGAGACCTTGCTGCTAAAATAATCCCTTCTGGTTTATCTCCCCCACACTCTTTCCTAAAGAAAAACTAAGATTGTGCGGTGTGTGTGTGCATGGGGGGTGGGGGAATGAAACCCTGTCCATTCTTAGGTTTGTAACAGCCTCAAAATTACGGAATCTATTTAAGGTAAACCTGATGCTGCCCATTGCCCAATGCCTAACACAAATCAAGCTTATGGAAAAAGAATATTAAATTTTCCACGTTTTCCCTCGGGTCTGGAACCCCAGGATTCAAGGGAGAATTAAACATTTTCCTCTCCCATTCCCTTTCTCTTCCGAAGTCCGTAAATGACAACGTGTTTACACAAGTTTTTATGTCGTCTGAGCTTCGTCCCGGCTCCGCTTCCTCCTCTGTGTATTTTCCGCGCAGAGAGATGTCTGCTTCAGGACGCGTTCAACCTAAACAGAACCCCGTCTGATTGGAAAATGTATTTATTTGAAAAATCGTAACTCACAGCTTTGGTGAAAACGGCCCCCAAATTTATGGGATAGCTTGGGGCGCGGCGGTCGTAAATTAAAAAGCACTGGACAACCCCCTCCCCCAATCCCCGCAGCGGCACCAGTCAGGTTCTCAGGAGCACCCAAGGACTAGCCCCCTCCCCGCTCCACCCCGCCGCAGTCTGCAGCCTCAGCTCCAGCCTCTTGCTGTGGCTAAGTGGCTGTGTTAGGAGGCAGGTGGATTTCATTCTGGTTCCTTTCACCCAGTCGAGTTAATTTCAGGGTAGCCTCACTGCGACCTGTTTCAGGTGGTCGGTTCACAGTGAACAGTGCTCTGTTGTGCACCGGTCTGTTTTAGGCATCTCGGGTTTTCTCTTTAAGTCCACGCTGGTAAGTTTCGTGGTGGCGGGCTGCTTGTCCCCAGTCCCTAACCGAATGATCCGTGGGGTGCCAGGCTGTCTCATGCCGAGAGGTTTACCTCTGGTCAGTGTCGTGGTCAGTTTCACCGACCGACTCCTGCTGCCCAGGTCAGGGAAGTTTTTTCCTTTCAGCCCAATCTGAATTCCCCTGGAGGATGGAGTCAACACACTCCGCATAGTTGCGCTATCCTTCAGCCAGCCTGCGCCAGCTGAGGACTAGGATTAGAGGCTGGAACTGCGAGCACATCCTGGGGGACAGGCGCCGCGGCCGCCGGAGGTGGGGAGCCGCGTAGTCCAGGCGGACCTGGACGCGTGGGGCCTTCACCAGCAATCGTCTGCTTCCTTCTGCAAACCCGGGCTGAGCCATATTGCTCCGTCTTTTTTTTTTTTCCCCCTTCACTAACGATCAAGCGCCACTTTGGCAGCATACCCACGGGGAGTAAGGCAAGGTCTCCGCTCCCAGTTTGTCTGTCTAAGCGCTGCTGCCTCCGGGAGAGGCGTTTAGCTACTTAAAACTTATGCCTTTTGCACTCGTTTCTTCAAGGTAGGCAAAGGAGCGCTCTGGAGCGACGCAGTTAAGCGCAGGAAGAGCCGCAAAGTAGTGCGGGAATCCCAGAATCCGAGGTGGTGCGGTAACTCATCCCAACCGGTTCTGCCGCGGCCACCTGCCTCGCAAGCCACTGATGTATACGCAGTAACGTTAGTTGGCAGAAATGCAGTACCTTTATTAGGCAGAGAAAACCCAGTTAGATTAACCTAGTCCGTCCAGGGAGATCAAGAACTGGTGTGAGGTAGCATGGGCCCGCAGTGGTGAGGGGACAGAGCGCTGCTCTTCCGCCAGGTTCCCTTAACGCGGGGGTCTCGGGTGGGACAGGGAGGACAGCCCTCCTTCCTCAGGCCTGCTTCCTTCCAATCTAAAATGGCCTTGCTCTAACGAGTGTTGGGATCTGCACATTCTCCTCCGCCCCGGACAGCACTAGAGCCAGAGATGGACTTTCAGAGCTGCTTGGAGTCCGAGGTATTAATCTTGGAAACATCTATGCTAAGCCTTTCCGCACTGGGTTGGGAGGAAGAGATCAGCAGCTGGCTACACTTACTGGTACACATTCCGGGCTCCTCAACTCTTTCTGCGTAGAGGCGCTCAGAACCCGAGCCTGTGGGCAATAAACGGTATCATTATTAATCTTATTATTTTAAACCGGGCCAGACTACATCTGTCATCTTTCCCATAATGGTCAATTGTAAACACACTTTACAAGAGAAAAACAAAAAAAGGGATTTAATGCTGATGCTGGGAAAATGCTTAGCACTGGCGTTGCTGGGGAATTGGCAGGCTCTCCAGTCCTTTGGGAGAGAATTTAAGTGCTTAGTAGTTTTTTTGGTTTTTTTCCCCATTGAATTTCTAAATCTCTCAGGGGTCTTTCTTTGTCTCTTTAGTTTATCGAGAGAAGTCCTTCCTTTAAAAGTCAGTGACGAATCAGTGGGCCTGGCCTTGGAAATCAGGAGAGAGTGGAATAGGAACCTGCAAACTTGGCAGACAGAGTCTTGATCATTTTCACTGTCACTGTCAATCTTCTTACCAACCTGGTCCTCAGTTTCAGCCTCTTTCTGCCCTAGTGTTCCGCCTTGCTGCAGCAGTGCGTTGGTGTGGAGCAGGGAGATGAGAGATAAGCGAATGATAGAAAAAAACAGAAATCAGAAAAGAAAGGCAAGAGGCATGTGCGGTGACTGGTGAAAGGGGAAGGATGCTTTGGTTTTATCTCATTATCAAATATTAGAGCAGGTTTCCTTCCAGAAAGTCTGAGTTTGACTGCCTTTTCTTGGTATAAACATCTCTGTCTAGCCACAGAGACACTCCTGTCCCCTCACACACACACATAACTACCCCCCCACCCACCCACCCTCCACACACACACCACAGGACACAAGATTGTCCTCATCAGCTTACCCAGACCATCCAGAGCATGGAGCAAAGAATAACAAGAAAGTCACAGTGAAACCCAGCTCCCAAACTCAAACCAACTGCTGCCGGTTTTTAAATTCATTTTCATCTATGTAAGCAAGCCCCCAACCCTGCCAAAGTCTATTTTTTAAAACAACGACAAAGGTGACAGGAGAAAGAGAGAACAGAGAGGAAAGCCTAGAAACCAGAGCAGAAATTAATTCAATTACCTCTTTTCCCCTGCCATAAATTCCGCAGAGGAAATCAAATCTTTCTGTGCATGTGTGTAAAACCCGATCAGTCTATGGAGCTTGCCGAAACCCATTATGTCTTAAACTGGGTATCCTAATTGGATGAATGTGAATGTACCAGGCAACCAGGCATCAACTGAGCCGAGATTTTCCAATGGCATTCTCCATGGAGCCAGAGAGGATAAACATCAGTTGGAACCACATGCTAATCAGTTTGCCCTCAGAGAAGGGGAACCTGGGCGCAGAGGCATCCTAACATTTTGCGTCAGATTGTAATGGAATATTTCTTGTAAACAGCCGAGTGTCTCTCCCAGGCACTCACCTGACATGTTTCTTGTTGTTTAAGTTCAGATCTGACAGATGATGATAACCTGGAAAAGAGAGAGGTTGTAAATGCTGAGGACTGTAAGGCTGGGCAGTGTAAAGGACGCCTGCTCGAGAGTTGGGACAGAGCTGTGATTTGTAGGACCCCAAAAACTTGTCAGGCCGCTCCGGGCAGGCAGGGCAGCCGGGAGAGGGGAATAGCGTTCCAGGGGGGAGAAGCACACAGAAAGGAGAGCTATGGGCTGCTTGCTCCAGGAAGCACGCCGCTTGTTTTGTGTTCCGTTTTGTGAGATGGAGACTGCCCCCTCCCTCGGACCCTCCCCACGTCGCACTCCCCTCTCTCAGGGGCACGCTGATTTATAGCACCTGTTAGGAACACATAATGGATGCAATTAGCTGTGGCACTAGAGGAAAAACTTAACAGGAAGAGTTGACTTTATTCCAATAAAAGATAAATGTGTCTGTTTTCATGAACTTAGCTCATTAATTTCCACTTCTGGAGCCAGTTTTTTTTTTTTTTTTTAGAAAAATCATTGCTGTTTTCTTCTTGAAACTCATGCGTTCATTCTCGAAGTTTAGTAGGTATCACACTCCCCTTGTTGAGCAGGTTTCTAACACAGGGAAGAGGAGGAGTGGACATGGGATGGGATCTGCATTTCAAGAAAGTCCTTTAGTAAATTCTGATTCAGGAGCCAGGGATATTTTAGACTTACATCCCTCAGGTAGAGACTCAGGAATAACCTATTTAATGACAACAATTCTTTGTCTTGGTAACTGTGTGACTAGCAAAGTTAATATACATACACAGTTAAATATGACAGTGTCTGTTGTGGAAAATTTAGAAGATATAGAAAAATATAGGAAGAAAACTCAAAACTTCCTTGATCCTAACAGGTTATTTAAGCTCCCTGGGCTGTAAGCTTTCTCCACAGAATCCTATAGATCCCCAAAGGAGACAAGGCTCTTGTGTTCACCTGTTCTAACCCTTAGCACCCAGCACACACCTGGCAGACAGTAGGACCTCCAAAAATTATTCACCGAAAGAAATAATTGGTTAAACAGAACTGTAGGATTTGATGATCTCTAAAGGTACTTCCAACCCTGACATTCTATTTTTCATTCTCTGCGCTAGGGAAAAAATGTAATTGCATAAACTCAGATATATTTGTCACTGGGACGCTTGACATTTAAACAGGTGTGTTTTTCTTCTCCATGTCTTGTCACTTGATCTGACAGCTTTCTGCTGCTCTATCTGATGTTAGTTTAGGGTTGTCCTTGCCTGAGGCAGCCCAGCTATCGCAGCGGACTGGAACTGAGCGGGGCGGTCCCCACCTTGTACCAGAGAGAACAGTCAGAGTAGATTTTTGAAGACTCCAGCAAAATGGCACAGCCTAAGAAAGAAGATAGTAGGGTGTCTGCTGTTCACAAATGTGAATTTTGGGGACTTACCTGGCAGTCCACAGTGGTTAAGACTCTGGGCCTCCAATGCAGGGGGTATGGGCTCAATCCCTGATTGGAGAACTAAGATCTCGCGTGCAGCACAATGTGGCCAAAGCAATTCTTTCCTGAAACCATGAGCCAGGCCCCTCTCCTTCTGTCCGGCTGTACTAATGGCATTGGCACTGGCATTAACCTTCAGTAGAGGGCCATGCCCTCTACACAGACTCTTGTTGAATCCTCTGAGCAACACTCTTAACTCCATTTTATAGATGTGGAGTTAATGCCCAAGGCCACTCAGCTAGGACACTGGAGAAGTAGAATTAAAACCCAGGTCTCCTTGATTCCAGAGTTCTTGCTTTTAACCATTATAATGATGTGTGTGTTAGGGGGTAAGTAAGGGTATGAGTACAGTTGGGAACTTCCCCAGTGGCTCAGCAGTAAAGAATCTGCTTGCAATGCAGGAGCCACAGGAGATACAGGTTCGATCCCTGAGTCAGGAAGAGGAGGGCATGGCAACCCACTCCAGTATCCTTGCCTGGAGAATCCCCATGGCCAGAGGAGCCTGGCAGGCTACAGTCCATAGGGTGGCAAAGAATTGGACATGACTGAAGCGACTTAGCACACACGCACAAGGGTATAGTTAAAATGCTAAAAATACTTTTATTTCTCCAACAGTATTTTAAACAAAAAAAATTTATATAATTTTGAAAAGTCCATTGATAGTTATTACAAAATATTGGCTATATTCTCCATGTGGTACAGTCTATCCTTAAGGCCATTGTAAACCCAATAATTTGTACTTCCTACCCCACCCCCACCCCTTAGACTGCCCATCCCCTCCATAACCACTAGTTTTTCTCTATATATATCTGAGTCTGCTTCTTTTTTTTTCTTGTATTCACTACTTTGTTGTATTTTTTAGATTCCACATATAAATGATATCATACACTTTATCTTTTTAACACACTATTAATTGGAGGATAATTGCTTTATAATGTTGTGTTGGTTTCTGCCAGACAACAACATGAATCAGCCATATGTATACATACGTCTCCTGTCTCTCTCATACCCCTACCCCCAGTATCTTATCTTTTCCGTCTGACTTACTTCACTTAGTACAATGCCCTCCAAGTCCATCCATGTTGCTGTAAATGGCAAAAAATCATTCATTTTTATGGTTGAATAGATATAACCACATCTTCTTTATCTACTCATCTGGTGGACACTTAGGTTACTTCTGTATCTTGACAATGATATTTAGTGCTGATGTGAACATTGGGGTGCATGTATCTTTTTGAATTAGTGTTTTTGGTTTTTTTTAATATATACCCAGGAGTGGAATTGTTGGGTCATATAGTAGTTCTATTTTTAGTTTGTTGAGAAAGCTCTACCATGTTTTCAACAGTGACTGCACCAATTTATATTCCCACCAACAGTGTACAAGCGTTCCCTTTTCTTCACATCCTGTGCAACATTTGTTATTTGTGTTCTTTTTGATAAGAGGCATTCTGACTGGTGTGAGCTGATAGCTCATTGTGGTTTGATTTTTCACTTTCCTGATGATTAGTGATTTTGAGCGTCTTTTCATATGCCTGTTGGTCACCTGCATTTCCTCTTTGGAAAAATGTTCTCCAACAATATCTTAACAATAATGTACTCTCATGAAAAAAAGAATATAACCTGCCACCCAAACAATGCAACTCTGTCACTCTCTCACCCCCAAACACTATATACTAAGAAACCTTTCTGCTACAGAGTCCATGTTCATCAGTTTTAATGGTAGCATCAGGTGGGCCACAGGTTGCATCTAAAGAGATGATTCATCATAATGAGGTTATCATCTGTGAGGAAAGGTGCCAAATCTGTTCCACTCAGTACCGTATCCCCAGTACTTAGTACAGTACCTACACATAGAATTTACTCAGGAAATATTTGTTGGATGAATGAATGGTAATTTACTTAATACAGACAATTCTGAGGAGAAGTCTCTACCTATATGATTACCCAGAAGTTAATCTTACAATACAGCCCCATCACATGGTAGGTGCTTAGGAAGATGTGGTTGAAGGAATAATCTTGTAGGAAGAGATCTCGCACATGGAATTACTAAAAGAAAGTCTCACCCAAGTTAGCAAAATGGAACTAAAATAGATTCTCCATCTTAGTTAAGTCCCTTGCTGCCTCCTTCATAAGGAATGCCACGTTTTCTGATCTCAGCTCTGTGACCCTCATTCTGTGATCCCAGGCCCTAGTCGCCCCCAAGGATCATCCAGGCCTGAAGGTCTGAGTGTTTGCATGGTCCTAAGTTGTGTGTCCATCACCAGGTCTAGCATTGCACAGTCAGACCTCAGCCAAGTTCCTTGGAATGATTTGAGGTTTGCATCCAACCCTTGGTTCCAAAAGTCATACTTTGTACCTACTCCCATTTATACTTTTAGAATGCATTTTTAGGGAAAAGGTGGATATGGTCTAATGGTGAGTAAAAAGGAGAATATAAAATTAAACATACAGGGGGACTTCCCTGGTGGTCCAGGGGTTAAGACTCTGCATTTCCACTACTGGAGGCTGAGGTTCAGTCCCTGGTTGGGGAACTGAGATCCCACATGCCACACAGCATGGCCAAAAAATAATAAAAAATAAAATAAATTTAAAGGTTAAACATACTAGGCCTTTTTTCAAAATAAGAAAGGCTTTATTTTAAAGACAAAATGAATAGCATGAACTGATATCTAAATGAAAGTAAGTGATTTCACTGGGGTTTATAAAAGAGAAAGATGAACTCAGGTGTCAACTAAATATCAGAACCATAAAAGAGGCGCATGAAAGAAGACATCCTAAAATTATTGTTGGTAGAATCATTGGGAATTAAGGATGATATCTTTGCTTTTCCTCAATTTCACAAATGTATTATTTATTGTATTTTATAATTAAAAAATAATTCATATTCCAAACTAAATATAGGACTTAAAATATAACTTCTGTGACAGGAGACAGTCAATAAGAAAAAGTTCCAATTCAACTTTGGCAACAAATATAATAACAGCAATAACATTTACTTGGCATTCATAATGTGGTAGGCAATGAATTAAGTACTTTACATAGGTTATCTCAATTATCTCAAAGTACTTTATTAAAAAAGTACAGTTTGTATTCACATTTTGCAGATAAACTGAAGCACAGAAAATTTAAGTAACTTGCCCAAGGTTCTCCAGCTGGTAAGAGGCAGAGTTGTGATTTTTTGAACCTGTCAATTCTCCAAACACATTTATGAAAGGATGGAAAAAAGAGAGAGGGAGAGAGGAAGAAAAGATACCGGGGTGGGAGGAGGAGTTGTCCCTTTGGTAAGAATACTTGGACCAATGAAATGGATGTCTGAGGTATCTGTTGTCTGAGCGTAGGAATCAGCTGGGGGGTAGTCAGAAATGCAAAGTCTCAGCTTTGCCTCAGATCTACAGAATCAGAATCTGCATTTTTAAAAACATTCCAAGGGATTGTTTGGGAATTATTGGCATTCCGAATTTGGGAAGCCCAGTAACTGAAGATAGTAAATATAGAATCCATTTGGAAAAAAAATAGAATCCATTTGTGTTTGTGTGGACTGATACAACCTTGTCAGAAATGGGGTCAGAGCTTCATGGATCAGTTTTTTCGAAGTCTGTTTCATGGGCTGGAAAAATGTCTTAAAGGATTGCTATCAGAAATTTGAAAAAAAAAAAGAGAGAGAGAGAGAGAACAGAATAGTAAAAATACCAGGGTGCTTCTCATACAGGAAGGGTAAATGTTATTACATGAAACTTTTATTTCAAAGGTGTGGGTGTGTGTACTGGGTCTTGAGGTATGAGGTCCATCTTATTCACTCTCTGTCAAGAAAAGTTTTAGCAACTGGTATTCACACCATGGCTGGAGGCAGCCATGAAATTCCAAGCTGACGTTTAGAGGTGTGGTGGGTCTACTTCCTGTTTCTGATAAATGTAAGAATTCCGAATGAAAGAGCGAAGTGGACGGGAGAAGAACGGACGGCTCCGAAATCACCTATCTTCCTGTCCAGATGCAGAAACCCGGGCCCAGGGAGCAGAGAGACTGGCCCAAGGTCACACAGTAAAATGGAGACTTTCGGCTTTGGAAAGGCGAGCCTACAGTCAGGTCTTTCATTCCTTTTTTGTCCCCAACCATGAAAGACCTGGGAGGCTGGGGGGATCTGGCCAGGAGGCCGAGCAGTTGGGGACATGACTGTGGAATGTGTTGGGGAAACAAGACGCCTTCTCTTGCAGGCCCAACAAGCCAACAGGCCTATGTGTGGCCAGAAAGGGCTCTGGTTATCTGCCGTCCGCCTCTGTTTCGTTTGGTCTGTCAAGTCCAGCAGCAAAGTGGCCCAAACGTGTGAGGTTTGATAAAAGTTGGAAGGTAAGAGGAGGGAGGTGGCAGGACGTCAGGGACCAGAGTTTGAGAGACGTTCCAGAACCTCCTCTTCTACATTTCCTCTCAAAAGGCTGGGAAAGTCAGAGGTCCCTGCTCTCTCCCTCCACAGCCTCCCCTCCCCCGGAGACTGTGGCCAAGACCCCAGACTTCTCATCTCATCTCGGGTGGAAGAGGATAAACTCTTAAAACTTGGGTGCTGGGTCAGGGGATTTAGACTTTCAAAAGAAGTCTAGCTTCTTTAACTTCCTTTTATTTTTTAATTCAATAAACAATACAGGGTGGGGGGGGAAGCAATACAGAGAACATAGGAAAGAGAAGAAAATACATAATTTTACCACCCCAAAATTAACTATGTTGCCATAATTTTGTGAATGATTTTCAAAGTGGGCCATAGAACCTGTCCTGTTCACTTTTCTCACTTAGTGATGGGTTGTAAGCATTTTTTTTTCTTTTTTTCTTTTGGTCAATGATTATTATTTACATTACTGGACATTTTATAAGAAAGAATTATCATTAGTTGTTTATTTTAGATAGGACAATAACTTTGTGCCTATTCTTTTTTAAAAAGTCCTTTTAGAGATACCTTCTGACATTTTCCGGGCCAAATGTCTGGAGGAGTAATTCAGTAGGAGCAGAGTGAAAATAAGGTTGGCCATAAGTTGGAAATCATTGATACTCTGCTGTATACCTTTTAAAATATAGGGGTTTTGCAGTATTCTTCTGTAACATGTTTTTCACCAATTTTGGTCACAGATTCCTTTGAAAATCTTAAGCAAGCTATGAATCCACTCCCCAGAAAAATCCACTTTTGCTTACAACACCCACAATTTTAGGAGGTCCACACCCCCGTAAGACTATTCGTGTACCCAGGTTAAGAACTCCTGACCCACAGCATGATTTTTTTTTAAAAAAGACTTCAGAGTATTCAAGCAGATGTATCATAACTTTACTTAACCAGTCCCCCTATTCTTGGGAATTTTCATAGTAATTATAAATATTATTAATAAAGCATTCTATTACACATGTCTTTGCATACATATTATGACAAATTCCTAAAAGTATCAAAGGATATGCCTGTTTTAAAGGCTTTTGTTACAGCATATCACGTTGGCTCCAGAAAGTTTTGTGTAGTTAATGTCTGAACATCAGTTCCCAGCATTGCAGTCCCGCGATCTGGATGTAGCCTGGCTTAGGCAGCCAGCAGCATGTCCTTGGGGGAATCCGTCCTGGCTTCCTGAGTCTCAGTGTCCTCACCTGCAAACTTGAGGAGGTTAAGCCAGCTGACCTCCAGGATCTCCCATTATATTCTGTGATTCTTCCAACCCAGAAAGTCTGGCTAATTCTGCATGGTCCTCCTAATTCTGCATGGCTAATTCTGCAAAGGCCCCATCATTGTCATTCCGCCTTTGCTCATAGAGAAGATTCCACATGCTTCTAACCCTGCTCCCAGTTGGGGGTGGTGGGGCCAGCTTTAGCAAGTTTCCAAATTAGACTGAGGGTTGGAATCCTGACTCCAACCAAGGGTAACTGTGGGGAAGTGACTTAACTTCTCTGTGTCTCAGCCATTTGTTAGATGTTTAATATCTGTACATACCTCACAGGGTCAAGGGAGGATTAATTGAGGTAATACATGTTAAAGTGCTTTGAACAGTGCCCAGAACATAGAGCACACTCACCAAGTACTTGCTATTATTAATATTATTACATCTCTCCCAGCCAGCACTCCCCGCCCCTGCCCAGGACTTACCTTTGCCCGAAGGGTGATGTGCAGATTCCTCAGAGTGGAAGGCAGCCTTCGGCAGCACCTGTCCACACCTGCCCTACAGCCTGCCTCCCCCTTGCATCACACACCCTGTGATTACCGCCAAATGGAACAATTCCTACATCCACCCCTTCTCACCCTCATGCCCCGACTTCTCCTCCTTGGTGCCTTAGCCAGAATTTTCCTCTCCACCCCCAGGGCATCTCCTCCTGGTGCCTTCCAGAGGGTGGTCAGGGATCCGGTCTATTCATACCTGGGCCAGACTGAGCCTTTAAGTCCCTACCATACAGTGGCCTCAGTCTCCTACTTTATACACTGTCCTTAGAGATCTGATGGTCTCTAAGGTCCTCCAGTTCTGGACAGGTCACTGGTTCCAGAATGAGACATGGAAGATCCTTCCCTTGGCTTCTGGCTTCACTTATGCTCACTTAGTGTCCCTCCCTGGAAAGCCCTGTATGTCACCACAGCACCGTGGCCCAGCTGCCGTAACCCACAGACCTCGCCGACAGCCTGTGGTCAGAGCGGCACCGTGGGGGCTGGCCGGTCATGGCCAGAATTTGAGAATCCAAGGTCAGGTGCCTCCAGAGCCGGCGGGCCTCTTCCACTCCAGTCTGGGGACCTCAGTGATATTATTTGTCTACTAGGTCACTCGCTTCTCTCACCTGAGGGGTATGGCGTGTATCGAAATGCCTAGACCCTTTGGAGATGGCGTTCTGCAGATTTAGAGCTGTTCAGCCCAGGTTGGAACCTGAGTCTCACAGCACTGGGTGACCCTGGGCTCAAGTTCATCACACCCCAAAATGACTGGACTTGGTTTTCGCAAGAGATTTTCAGACCTGATATTCAAGCCCCAATCTGCCAAGGCCACATATCTGAAATGTTGTTTCCAAGGCCTTTCCTCAAGTAGCCACTATTGGAAGTTACGGAACATATAATATAGGCATTAACATGGAAGGAACTTGAATTTTGCCCCCCTCTCCCTTTTTGTTTGTTCTGTGGGGCTAGTGATGAGTTTTCCTAAAAAGTCCTAAAACTACTTTCAGTTACCAAATATAGCCTCATTCATCCCCCGCCCCAAATTGTCCCGTCTTCACACTGGACTCATCTCCCTGCAGCCCCTACCCCAGTCTGGGTTTGTCACAAGTCAGCAGGAAGCTGCAGTTGGGGAGGGAGCATATTTGGTCTCTTCTCTCCTTATCTTCCGCCTCACACATCACCCCCTCTCACTCTGCTCAGAACTTGACAAGCTTGATTTCCCTTCCTTCCAGGGATGGAGCAGGGACCAGAGGACTAACTTGATGAGTCCTGTCGAGGTAGCTGAGTTTGGGCACTGGGCAGGCATCTACTCCCGCATGGGGCCTCTCTGTGAGTCCTTGGGAGACTTGCTCCGCCCTCCCCACCTATGAAGCTGCTCAACTGCAGGTCCTTGGCAAGGTGAAAGTAACTCCATACCACCTGGCGGCTCTCCCTCGTCAGCTGGAGGCATCCTCCATCCCTCTGTCGCTTGCCCACCAGGAATCCCTGTTGGACTGACCACGAACTAAGCCTCTGCTGGCCCCCTCTCTCGCTGTCCCACGTGAGTGCCCTCTCCCCGCAGACAGCAGAGCCTTTGCTCCTATCAGTCAGCTCCTGTTTTCCACGGTCAAAGCAGTTGGCCAGCACAAAGATTGCCCTTTAAACGGGATGGGCAGAGGTCAAGCAGCAGCCTATTGTGTCCACTGAAATGTAGGAGATACATTTTGAGCTTGAAGAGGAGTTACTCACAGTGCTACAAAGAGGAAGTGTCCCCGTTACTCCTTTTTGAGGGGAGGAAGATTTACAGCACACCAACCACTCTCTTCAAAAATTGCCCCCCTAACCTCAACCACTCTCAGTCCTTTAAAACCCACCCACGGTGCGGGTGAGGGATTGAGGACAGCCAGTTTTTGTCTCCGCTGTAAATTGTGTACCACAGGCTTGCACCTTGCTCCGGGAAGTGCCATCTGTTATACCCCTGCCTCTCAGCTGCCATTTCCATTTTAATGTCTCATTACACTCATAATAATCATTGTTTAGTCACTCAGCCGTGTCCGACCCTTTGTGACACCCAAGAACTACTGCCCACTAGTCTCCTCGGTCCATGGGCTCTCCCAGGCAAGAATACTGGAGTGGGTTGCCAGTCCCTTCTCCAGGATGTCTTCCAGACCCAGGGATTGAATGGTCACCTTGATTTGATGCTTACTATACATACAGCAGGCTCAGGGCTGACCATTTGTAGTGAATTTTTTTCTTTTTCTTTTTTTCAGTTTTCTGTTTTTGTTTCTCTTTCTGCAACCAGCATCCTGATTTCTTTTCAGGTCGTTGCCTCTCCCTCATTGTGTGTGGGCTGTTGGGGTGTACAGCAGATATGCGTGGTACCCCTCTCCCAGAGTGTTGGATGCTAATGGATCACAGCTGCCTCCTCATCGTGAGGGAGGATTTCTCCAGGTGAATCACCTGGAGCTGCTCGTGGTCCATGGCTGACTAATATAGGGCAAACCCAGCCTCCTCGGCCTCAAGAGGGGACAAACTCGGAGGTTTGTCGTCCATGCTCTAGCACAGCCTTTGGGATCAGCTGAGACTAGATGTCTCCTGAAACCACATCTTTGACCAGTTTCTCCCCCTACCCGCTTCAGCCCTCTCTCAACAAATACACTCCATTGCACAAGAATCCACTTCTCAAGCTCTGCTTCAAGGGACCCTGCATAACACAGGTAGGAATGTGATCCAAGGCGGGCCAGTCTCTCAGGACGCTGAATAAAGGATGGGAGTGAAAAAGAGTTAGCACTTTACTGTTGCACCTTGCAACCTGGCTCCCTGACCAGATTGTCTAATATTCCTGCTGTTTTGATTTCTGGAGCTCCTCTGGTTCTTCAGTTTTTCTTTGGATTCTGAGTATTCCACATCCTTCTTTTCCCTTTTACTCCCTTTTTAGCCAGACTCCCTTTCTTATGACCACCACCAAAGAACTACACAGATGGGGCACGTTCCATCTCGATCCTCCAATCATCCTAGGCGCATAAAAAGCTGAGGCTCAGAGAGGTATAGTCACCGGCCTTAGGTCACACAGCTAGTAAATGGTATTAGTAGGAGCTCAGATCTAACAGCAAAGCCCTGCTTTTAACCATTCCGATGTGCTATCTCCATGGGGAAGAGCAAGCTGGTGTGAGCCACAGCCCTCCACACCTCCTCTTGGTTGGGTTAACATGCAAATGCATGAGTCACCATTGATCCTCCAGGTAGCGGGGTGGTGCGGACTGTGTACCTGGGTTTAGGTCTTAGGTTGGAATTCAAGCTCAGCCTCTTGGTAATGGTGTCAATTGGGCCAGTTACCTAAGCTCTCTGAGCCCCAGTTTCTCCATTGGTTCAATGGTGGCCGTGATGTCTAGACAGGATCGTGGGGGGTTAAAGGAGATCCTGAAAGTGAAGTGGTTAGCCGGGTACACAGTATGTAGTGGGCACTCAGGAAGTGGTAGCTGTTAGTAATTGCTGTTGTGTTGTCACTTACTGTCATACAGAGGTGACTTGGAATGTGTTTCAGCCAGTGAAAGACCAGAGGAGCCCCATGGTGAGGATTTTGTCTCGGGCTCCCGGTGTTCTCTTGGGCCTTCTGTCCTTCCAGACAGACCATGAGGGATCCCCCCCCACGGGCCTGCAGAGTGTTATAGGCCTGCAGAAATCAGGCAGCTGGCGCAGGTGACTGGATTGGCCCTAGTGGGGCTGCATGGAGTCAGAGTCCGTCTTAAGGAGGTAGTGATGATCAGGATTAGCTGCTTGTAGCCATTTGGGAATTTAGGCCCAAAGCAGCCAAATCTTGGAGTTTTCAAGAAAAGCAGAGAGTCTAGGTTATTATGTGAAATCTCCCAGTTTCTAAAGGTTTTAACTTTAGGCACGTTTTTCTAATGCTGATGGGGCCAAACTCAGTCGCCTGTGGCTGAATGTAGCCTTCATTTGCAACTCTGGGTCAAAGGCTTTGGTCAATGGTTCTGTGAAAACGAAGGCTGTCTTCTCCCCAAATCAGCAGAATTCATCTCCAGAGCCTGAAGGTGGAGCTGGTTCTGGGTATTGCCTCTGCCCTTGGCTGGTTTTCAGCACTCCTTTAGAAAGAAGGTCTGACTTCATAATGGGAACCCAGGTCATTAAGACCCAGTTTCTGCTCTAGCAGGAGGTAGGGATTCATGGGGTGAGATTTCCTGTTCATCAGAAATGCATGGAGAGGAAAGAAGGCAAGTGTGTGTGTGTGTGTGTGTTGAAGGGGGATGAGTATGGAATGGGTCCAGCTCAAAGCTCAAAACTAGAAGTTTCAGAGTAGCTTTTATTTTTGTTTATTTACATTTTTAGAGGCAAGAAAGAAAATTAAATATCTATTGAGCTAATCTGAAAAGAAATAAAACTGTTTTTCTCCCCCTAGGAATGTCCAGGAAATATTGTCAAGAGAGAAAAATAAGTTGCAGGCTAGTGTATAAGAGGATTTGATTTCTGTGAAAGCAAGACTAATAACACAAATCCCTGAAAAACCATGTGCCAGGGTGTACGTGTTTGTGTGTGAACTAGAGGAACAGTGTGGGGTGATCCCCACTGGTTGCTAGCGTTGGTTACCTCAGGGGTAGAGATGGGGAAGGGCTAGATAACAACTTCTAATGTGCCTACATGGTGTGTGTATGTGTTGCCACACTGCCTAGCTTGCGGGATCTTAGTTCTCCAACAGGAATTGAACCCGTGCCACGGCAGTGAAAGAGCCAAGTCCTAACCACTGGGCCACCATGGAATTCCTTCAAGTGCACACATTTGTGTTCTGTCATTTTACTTGTTTTAGGACGCCTGCACTGCTGTTGTAATCTGAAAGTCATACGATTAAGAAAAAAATTTAAATACACTTACAGGAGTGCCTACCAAGACTGACTATAATCCTGTAAAGCCATCTCATTTGCCCCTATAATTTTTTTTTGAAGTATAGTTGACTTACAATATTGTATTAGTTTTAGCTGTATGGCAAAGCAATTCAGTTATGCACATATATAGTACATATCTATATTCTTTTTCTCCTGATTCTTTTCCATTAGAGGTTGTTGCAAGACATTGAATACAGTTCCCTGTGCTATTTAGCAGGTCTTCATTGCTTATCTATTTTATATAAAGTAGTGTGTATCTGTTAATCCCATAAATCCCTAATTTATCCTTCCCCTACTTTCCCTTTGATAACCATAAGTTTGTTTTCAAAGTCTGTCGGTATGTTTCTATCTTGTAAGTAAATTCATTTGTGTCATTATTTTCAGATTACATATATAAGTAGTATATATTTGTCTTTGAGTTCATTTAGTATGATAATCTCTAGGTCCACCCATGTTGCTTCAAATGGCATTATTTCATTGTTTTTTTATAGCTAATATTCCACCGTATATATGTACCACATCTTCTTTATCTATTCCTCTGTTGATGGACATTTAGGTTGCTTCCATGTCTTGGCTATTGTAGATAGTGCTGCAGTGAACCCTGGGATGTATATATCCTTTTAAATTATGGTTTTCTCTGGATATGTGCCTAGGATTGGGATTGCTGGATCATGCATGTGTGTGTGCATGCGTGATAAGTTGCTTCAGTTGTGTCTGACTTGTTGCAGTATGGACTATGGACTACAGCCCACCAGTCTCCTCTGTCTGTGGGATTCACTAGGCAAGAATACTGAACTGGGCTGCCAGGCAACCTTCCCAAGCCAGGGACTGAACCAAGTCTCCTGTGTCTTCTGCACTACACACAGATTCTTTACTGCTGAGCCACCGGAGAAACTGCTAGATTGTATGACAGTTCTATTTTTAGTGTTGTTTTTTTTTTTTTAAAGGACATTCCATACTGTTTTCCACAGTGGCTTCACCAATTTACATTCCTACCATCAGTGTGGGAGGGTTCCCTTTTCTCTACGCCTTCTCCAGCATTTATTGTTTGTCGACCTTTTGATTATGGCCATTCTGACCAGTGTGAGGTGATAGCTCACTATAGTTTTGATTTGCATGTCTCTAAAACGCAAGGAGATAGTTAAGGACAGGGAAGCCTGGTATGCTACAGTTCATGGGGTCACAAAGAGTCAGATACAGCTTAGTGACTGAATAACAACAATAATAATTAGTGATGTGGAGCATCTTTTCATGGCCTGTTGGCCATCTGTCTGTCTTCTTTAGAGAAATGTCTAGTTATGTTTAAGTTAAGTAAGTAAGTATAGGTGTTAGTTGCTCAATTGTGTCCGACTCTTTGCAACCCCAAAGAGTAGCCCACCAGGCTCCTCTGTCCATGGGATTTCCCAGGCCTGAGTACTGAATATTCCTTTTCCAGGGGATCTTCCCAACCCAGGGATGGAAGCCAGGTCTCCCACATTGTAGGCAGATTCTTTCCTGTCTGAACCACCAGAGAAGCCCCCTATTTAGGTCTACTGACCACTTTTTGATTGGGTGGGTTTTGATATTTCATTGCATGAGTTGTTTGTATATTTTGGAAATTGAGCTCTTGTTGGTCACATCATTTTCAAATATTTTCTCCCATTCTGTAGGTTGTCTTTTCATTTTGTTTATAGTTTCTTTTGCTGTGCAAAACTTGTAAGTTTGATTAGGTCCCATTTATGTATTTTTGCTTTTATTTCTATTGCCTTGGCAGACTGATCTAAAAAACACTGCTATGATTTATGTCAGAGAATGTTTTGCCTATATTCTCTTCTAGGATTTTTGTGGCATCATGTCCTATATTTAAGTATTTAAGTCATTTCGAGCTTATTTTTGTGTATGATGTGAGGGTGTGTTCCAACTTCATTGATTTGCATGCAGTTGTCCTACTTTCCCAGCACCACTTGTTGAAGAGATTGTCTTTTCTCCATTGTATATTCTTGCCTCCTTTGTCAAAGATTAATTGACCATAGATGTGTGGGTTTATTTCTGTGCTCTCTATTCTTTTTTAAGAAAATATTTATTTGGCTGAA